GTAGGAAGGACCTTCCCGGGGGTGAGGGGAGGATCTGGCTGGTTTTTGGGGCTAAGGGTGCTGTGGGGAGGGATTGGACCGCTCCTCTCGGTGGCCGGCAGCTTCCCGGGGGTTGCGGCTGGCCCCGCCGCCCGCGCCCGCAGGGAGGCTCGTAAGGGTGGCGTGAAGTTGGGCTTCTGCAGCCCGTGTGGGGTGTTTGGGTTGTAGGAGCTGGTGGAAAGGGTGAACAGGTAAGGAAAAGTGAAGATTGACGTTTCCTCTAACGGACAAGTAAAGGTTTTTCGTAAGGGGTGCTGTCAGATTTGTCCCAGGGTGTGTTGTGTTTGTTTTTGTTTTTTTTTTTAACTAGTGTTAAAAGCACGATCGCTCTTAACTGCATTAGGTGCCTTGTTTTTAGCTTGCCGCTTTCAAATGTCTACCATTCGACGGTGCCTTTTATATACGCTTTTTTGAGGATTGCTTGTACTTCGTGTCACACTCGTATTTCTATGTGAGGATAATGGTGTATCTGGCTGTGCAAACGCTGTGGGTTTGGCTTTTTGTTGGTGTTGGGTTTTGTTTTGTTTTGTTTTTTCAAGTTGAACGCTGTTCCTTCCGCTTTCCCTGTACGTTCAGGCACAGATGCGCTTCTCTCCCTTTTTTTGCCGTTGTATCACGACACTCTAGCAGCTGCTAAACTTCCAGCCTTCTTTTCAGCTGTCTTCTGGTAACGCCACAATTTCCTCCTTCTGCAGGAGGTTACAGCTCTAGTCAGTTGGTTTCTGTGTACTTTAAAATCCAGTCTAAGAATTTCCATGTGGATAAGAGAATGCGTAACATCTAGATTGAGGTGAGGAGGAGTTACTGTTTGTTTGAAAAAAAGATTTAAGTTGCATAGAGGATGAATTATTGCATTTATTTACTTGCATAAATACGTAAGGCGTTATTCGGCTGAGTAATTTTGGTATTCTTTTATAGGTAAGGTTCCTTAACGTTTGAATTTAAAGATGCCGCTCTTTGGGAAAATTGTTGTAATTAAACGGAATGGGACTGATGGAATTAGTTTTCCACTCACTGCAAGTTCTTGTTTATTTGGAAGGTGAGAATTAGTTGAGTACTTGCATACTTAAAAACAATATAGGTGATATTTTTCCTGCAGATTATACGTTTTAATACTTACTTGCAAAAATACATGTTTATTTGTGAACCACATTCAGGTGATTCATAGGTGATATTGGACTAAGGTTAACTGGAAGACTAAAAAGCTGAACTTAATTTTTGTTCCCTTCCTTGCCAGAACTACTAAATTTTATTTTTTTTTTTAAAGTTTCTGGGCAAAGGAAATCTGGGGAAGGGATTGAAAGTAATACACAGTTGTTGAGCAACTGATGGTATTCTTTTATCCAGAGGCAGTTTCCAGATAATTGGCTAGTGAGGAGAAGCAAGGTACATGACTTGTGTTTAACCATCTTTGTTACATCGATGCCCTTCTCAATATTTTTGTTTTTTGTTCTCCAAAACCTCAGCAAGGTGTCAGCCAATATCTAGAATATTAAAAACTAGTAATAGCTTATACTTCTTCCTCCAATCTTGAAACTTGCTTTGACTTTTGACAGTTGAGTGGTAGTGTTTTTTTGAGCTTGATCCAGCTATTTTACGTTAAGAGATAAAATGAATATGCCTGAATGGTGTATGTGAAGACTTGACTAGATGATTTTACTATAAATAGGCTTCAAATAAAAGTGTTTACTTCTCTTAAGCTGTCTGTTTGGCACTTTACTGACTGACAGATATCTTAAATAACTGTAATTGTTAAGTTCTGAATAGGATTCCATAGTGAAAGTCTATAGGAAGCTCTCCAGTGTCAATAGTAGTGTTCTTTGGCTTCAGCAGAGCTGTCCAGTCAGGTGATACTTGATGGTACAAACATTAGTTTCTGCCAGCTGCATCACTGAGAGGCGTCAGGTACTTCTGTGAGCAGCACCTCTGGTATGAGAGCTGGTGTGTTTGACCTACAGCATGTCAAAAGCATTAGAGATTAGCTTGAAAAAAAACAAAACAAAAAAAGAACTAAAAAGTCTGTACACTTAAGAAACACAGCTTTCACTTACTAACAGCTTTTCGGAAGGTAGCGGTGGCTGTCTAGGTGAGACCAAAGGTCCTACTGCCTAAATTCTGTCTCTGAGAGTGATCACTAATGAATGCCCAAGACCGAGTTTAAGAGCACATGCTGGTATTTCCTGAAAGTATTCCACAAGTCTTCGTCAACTTGCAAATCAGGAAACAAATAATCTCAAGCCACCAGAGAGCTGTTGTAGACATGTCACTTTCAACTTGTGAACAGCTTTTTTCAGAATTTGGGTATTTTATGTATTTTTTCTGATATGGCTTCTCTGATGTTGCAGAAGTGTGAGCTCCTGTCATTTTTTGCCACAGCTGGAAGACTTGAGTAGTTAATTTTCTTCATGCTATCAAATTTAAGAAAGTAGCATGCTGCTGGACAGTTATTAGCTACAAAGTTGGGAAACTACCTAATTCTATAGTAGTCAGATTTTTCTGTTTTCTGTATGTCTTGAAACTCAAATTTTATTTTCCACCCACAGGACAAGAGAATGTGATATTCGCATCCAGTTGCCTCAGGTCTCAAAAGAACATTGTAAAATTGAAGTAAATGAAAACAAGGAGGTAAGAAATACCTATTTGAATGCCATGTGCATTGCATCGTTGCATCTCATCAGACTATTGAAGTGTTTGTTTTATTTTTTAGGCAATATTGACTAATTTAAGTACAGTAAATCCTACGCAGCTGAATGGTGATTGTTTCCAGCAGCCTGCACCTCTGAAGCATGGAGATGTGTTAACTATTATTGATCGTTCTTTCAGGTGAGTGCCGGTGACAAACTTAATGCCTTCATCCTAGAACATGTTCTGCAGGCGAGCAGTGCTGAGAGCTTTGTGGACAGAGGCTCTTACTGCTGGTTGAAGAGACAGAAGATGGCTGTAGATAAATGGGAAAACTTAAAACATCCTTTTACCATCTTCAGAAACAGAAGTTAATCTAGTTTATTTCATATTTCTTTACAGTGTCTTAGAGACTTTCTTCAGAAGGCAGGATTGCTTAAAGATATTTTTTTAATCACTTTTATATTACATGAAGCTAAACCAATAAAGATAGAATTGTCTGGAGAGATCAGTTTGATTTTTCTTGGAAGGGTGGTCATTTTTAGGGGAAAATGCAGAAGTATTTCGATGTAGCCTTTAAAAGTAATCTGTGTGTATTGTGGGGAGTGGGCAACTATTGTTAGGCCATGTGTCGTAACAATAGGAATTTAGTCATCAGCTATTTGACAGAAAAATGGTTGTCTTACTTTTAAAATATTTCCTCCAGATTTGAATATCCTCTCCAATCAACTCCAGCAAAGAGGCGTTCTAGATCTCAGAAAGATGAAACGCTGCAGGTAATTTTGTCGCCATAGGTGTATTTATTGCAAGTACATTGCTATTAGGAGTGATACGGTATTCCATTTCCTTTAGGTGTTTTCTTACTAGGAATACTTTTTCAGCCATAGACTACCCTTCTGTTTAAAAATAGAGATAAACTCCTTCAGATAAATACTTTTAAAAAAATTAATAATTTATTAATTTTAGACCTGTCAGTTTCTGGTACCAGATACTTAATAATCTATGATGCTACTTTTGCAGGTAAGCTATTAAAAATTAATCCTTAGCTTTTCTGAAGAGAAGATGGGATGCAGGAAATGCGGAGTATGGGTATTGGGTATCCTTGTACTTTACATGGGGAAGTTTACTCTAGAGAATGAGCGTTCTTTTTTAAAAAAAATAATTTGTTTTCTCTGTGCTAGTACACTGAATTGTTGGAATTTATAAATACTAAACTAAGCCTATCTTTTAATAATTTATTTTCATTAGTGTCCTTTTTTTCTTCTCAGAAAAGTTTTCTCCATTAAAGTGTTAGTTTGTGAGTACTTTTGCTACTGAAACTTTTTTTTTGATGTTATAGTTCTCTTATTTAAATGAAAATCTCCCACTAGGTCTGGTGAGATGAGACTCAAAGATGCTTGTAAATATTCCTATGCTACAGCTGCTTTTAGAGGAGATAATTTCAGTGATAAACTAACACTTAACCCCTTGCTATACAGGGCCTCAAATGTGTATTGCTTGATGTTCTTAAACTTTGAAATATTCTAGGATTTCATTTGAAAACTTTTAAGCCTGTTTAGTAAACAATGCTTATAGTTTTATAAATTGAGTGTTGTTTTTCATTGTACAGTTGAGGGCTAACTGTAAAATATTTGTTGCTCTGCTGTAATATTGTACAAATTTACAGGTTCTTCATGTTCAGCAGCAGGTGGCAGAAGTGGAATTATTACGCAAACAAACTTCAGGATTTAAAAGTCCTCATGCTTCAGGTTGGTACTTGTTTTCTTCTCCCTTCTTAATGGCATTTATTCTCAGCATAACAGGAAAAACAAGGTTGAAAAGAGAAAAAAAAAAAGTATTTTAAGAGTTTTCAATCAGAGTACACTGACATAGCAAGGTATATCGTACTGTCTCGTCATATTTAGATGCTGTGATTTACCAAAACTAAGTCCTGCCAGGAGAAAGGGGTTTAAGTGCATCCTGACAAATGGACAGTAGCAGTCGGCCTGGAATTGGCAAAATGTGTGTATGTTGCTTTAAGTGATTTGTGCAAGTTTAGTTTATGAAGTTTATAGCTAAGAAGAGTGTTCAGTAGACCAGCTTTGCAAATGTCGGTTGAGACTGATCTGTGAAGTGGTTACCGATTACGTTTGACTTTTCAGCAGCATCAAACGCAGTAGACCAGCTTTGCAAATGTCAGTTGAGACTGATCTGTGAAGTGGTTACCAATTACGTTTGACTTTTCAGCAGCATCAAACAAGTATAACATGGCAAATTCACTGCTGTGATTAAAATTTAACTTGCAGTTCTCTTCTGACTGTGTTACAGCTAGATCCCTTTTGAGCAAATATTGCATTGTCTCGTGTATTCTTTCCTAGTAAGAAACTGAAACAGGTATAATTTTGGAGATGTATAGGAAGGGTGAATTTTGCTGATTAAAATAATTATTTACAATAGGTGTTTCACGTAGACCCAGTAAAAATTCACAGGCTTTGAGCGACAGGCTCCCCAACACTGTCCTATGACACAACATTCTTTGCTTCGTTGTTCTATTAGCTTTAAGGGAACAACTTGTCATCGCAATAAAAAAGATACTAATCTACTTGTCTGCAGTTGGATAAAAGCTTTCACAGAAAGATCTAATTTCCTGTTCTTTCCCCCCTCACTCTTTTTCCCCTTTCCCAGAAGATAACTGACAGGCTTTTCCTTGTATGTCAGAGTCACTGCCTTCATCTTTACATGGATTATTTCCCATCACAATTAAGAAAAGTCAGCGTGTATTGGCATTTGTTTCGGCAGGCATTCATGCTGGCAAAGTAGTGCTGAGAAATAGACCTTGGAGATACCTAGATGATCACGAGGTCTCAGCTTCTTGTGGATTAAAAAGGCTCCTCTGAGCAGATGAATTGTGTTAGCTTGCATATACCCCTTGCTCATGGAAAACTCCAAGTGAAGCATACTGCTTCAGGCTTCCAGTAGAGAATTTCTTCCTTATATCTCATGTCAATCTCCCCTCTTTCAGCTTAAAACAGTTACTCCTCATCCTATCCCTCCACCTCCTGGTCAAGAGTCCCTCCCCAGCTCTCCTGTAGCCCCCTTTCAGCACTGGAAGGTGCTGGAAGGTCTCCCCGGAGCCTTCTCTTCTCCAGGCTGAACAACCCCAAATCTCTCAGTCTTGTCCTCACACAGGAGCTGCTCCAGCCCTCTGGTCATTTTTGTGGCCCTCATCTGGACTCACTCCAACAGGTCCTTTTCCCCCTTATGTTGGGGACCCCAGAGCTGGATGCAGCACTGCAGGGGGGGGTCTCATGAGAGCGGAGCAGAGGGGGAGAATCCCCTCCCTCGACTTGCTGGTCCCACTGCTGGTGATGCAGCCCAGGACACGGTTGGTTTCTGGGCTTCCAGTGGATGTTGCTGGGTCATGCTGAGCTTCTCATCAACCAACACCCTCAAGTCCTTCTCCTCAGGGCTGCTACCAAGCCATTCTCCTCCCAGATGGTATTTGTATGTTAACAGAGCTTTGTTTATAGTACTGTGTCTTGGACCCTCGTTGACTGTCTTGGGAAGGGAAAGGAAGGAATTTTTATCTGTATTTATGGAACTCCTGTTTGTAGTTCTGCAATTTTTAAGTAACTGCCTCAGTATTTTTGTTCTGCTTTGCTTACTTTGTAGATAATGCTGAGTGTGAAGAAAAACATGCCAATGAAAATAAACAAAATACAGAAGGAAATGTTTCCAAAGCTTTACCTGTCAGACTACAAACACCCAAATCTTCACACAGAATATATCAATCCAGTAAAAAGGAAAATGAAATGTCTCCCTTTAGTAAACTCTATGAAAAAATGAAAGAAGAGATTAAAGCGAAAAAACCTCTGCCTGAAGGAAATGCATCTCAAAAAGTTGCAAAAGAAAATGCTAAGAGTGTTCTGCCAGAACCAAGTGCTCGACTTTCATCAAGTTGTGCTTATGATCTGGGGAGCCTGACTAAAGAAAAAGAAGTGGGCAGAAGTGAAAACACTGAAGAAAGTAAAATGAAAATAAAACAGGAAGTAACTGGTTCAGAATTTAACCAGATCTCACCTATAGGAAGTGCTACCAAAAGGCGTTTTACCAGAAGTCCTCGAGCTTCTGTTTCCCAGGAGATGTCAAGAGATCCTGGTAAAAGCAGTCACTTACAGGATCATACGGAACCAAGTACAGCAGGCAAATCTAAAGGTACTGAAGTTACACCCAAACCCAGTAAGGAGAAGGATGGAAATGAAGCATTTTCACTGGAGCCGTGCACTGTAGAATGCTTGGGTTCTGCAAACAAAAAGAGAATATACAGCTCAATAGGAGCAGATAAACTAGTGCAAAAACCTAACTCAACAAATGTTTCTGAAGTAGATAAATATATTCTGTCGATACCAACAGCCAGAAGGAAGAGTCCTCGGTCTCATTTCGTATCGCCTACCAAAGAAACTAGTGGAGTGAATCCTGTAAATACTGATACTCCAAGTCGACCACGTGTGTCCTTGAAACGTAGGTCTCTCTCAGCAATTTCAGCTGAAACTCAAGGGGAAGATTCAGTTTGCAGAAATGATAGCCTCAAACAACTGCCTTTGGCTGAAAATAAATGCTTAAAACAAAGACGAAATAGTAAACAACGTACGCCAGAAAAACCCATAAAAGAAGTAGTGCTGGAAGAAATCTGCGATCAGGCAAACTTTGTTAGCTCAAAAGAGGGACATTCTGAACCTCCTGCCTCTTCTTCTAATTCCAAGAGTCCCAGAAGAAATAGCAGGCAAAGCAAAGAATTCTCAAACAGAAGCCTCCGTTCAGAGGCACTGACTGCAGGAGAGTTATCATCAGAACTGACATCTCCTGCTAGGCAGAAATCTGGCTCTGGAAGGAAGAGGGGTACGCCAAGGACCTGTGTACTGCTAACTGAAAACACGGTGGAGACAAACGCTGTTCAAGAACATCACGATACAACTGCAGACGGAAGAGACAGTGGAGCTAGAGAAGAGCTGGCCACAAAGGGGTATCATCAGAAACAAGATTTGGAAGATGCCAGTGTTATAAAACCTCGTAGATTGTTGTCAAAGAGGTCTTCTGGAAATGCTACTGTACTGGAAGACAAGGAGGCTGTCTCAGAAATTGATATTTCTGGCCTGTTGGCTGGAGAAGAATCAGGTAAATAGGTTTAATCTCTTGCCTCATTGTTTTTGTGTTTGAGAAATTATCTCATTTTTATGAGAATTTTTCCACTTACATAAAATGTAGAACTCATTGCTGAGATGGTAGTTCTAAAGTGTTTATCATGTCAATATATTTGACCATGAAAATGCACACTAATGTCTATTAAAGTTTACTCAATTGAATCTTTCTCTTTTAAGGTAAGTTATCTTCTAATATGTTTCCAAGTTTAAAATCCACAAGTAAGCACTGTTTTCTGTGCTGGTTAAAATGCTGACTTGAATTTTTAGATACATAGAAAAATATTTTCAATTGTTATATTTTTTAGGCAAGACAAGAAGGATATCTCAGAAGAGGAAAAGTGGTGACTCATTACTTCAGCCTGTAGGAAAAAGGAAGAGAGTGTCTTTTGGTGGTCATCTGAGTCCAGAACTTTTTGATAAAAGTTTGCCTCCCAACTCGCCCCTGAAAAGAGGTGCGATTCCTGTGAGACAGAGCGCACTGTTTGGAAACTCCCCACGTGCGGTTCTGAAGAAGGCTCAGGGACCGAAGCACTTTGCAGTCCAGGTAAGCTTTAAGACTAGTCAAGTTGCTAAGACAATTAATGTGAACAGAATTTATAAAATCTAAAACTTCTAGAAATTAGTTAAAAATTAGTAGTAAACCTTGTTAGATGTATGTTGGGAAGGGGAAATTTTAGTTGCAAATTAAAATGGTATCTGAAATAGGCAAATTTTAATCTGTGTTTTTTCAACTTCTCCGTTGTAGGAAAGAGCTCAGCTTATGCTTTATGTCAACCTGTCTTTACACAGGTGGTGTGTTTTTATTCACCTCACACGTGCTATTGGTCATTCTCATGCATATGCAGGAGTATATTTCTGTACGTTTGACCTTAGCAGCAGTGTCTGCAAGCTCCAGTTTACCATAAATAACAGAAAGCGGAACAGTAGTTTGTTGGCAGCCTCTGCAAGCTGCTGCCATGCGGTTTGGCTAGAAGTTTGAACACATTCGCTGTCGATTTAAACAAGATGTGTGTAGTGTACTTGATGTGAACAAAACTTTTGAATAAAGTAGAACAATAAATTCAGTTAATTTATTCGGTTGAATTTGCATGTGCCTTTTGAGACTGTTTTGACATTTAAAAATTATTACAAGTTTGTTTTCAGAGAATAACATTTAAAGCTTTTTCAAGTGATCTGATGATATTTTATACTTTTGTATTTACTTGTCAGGGATGTAGATGAGCATTTGCAGTTCAGCTGCGTGCAGTAGCATTTTATCTTTATGTATTTCTTTTTTTTCTACCAGGACCTTTCTGAACATTTGCAGAAAGAAAAAATGTCACCAAAAAATTTGCCAACCCAGAAGTCCCCAGCTGCCTCATCCCCTGCCTCTGTTTCTCACATCACGACACCATCGCCAGTTGCAGAAGAGCAGGATGCTCTTGCAGAAGACATGAATAAAAAAGAGAAAAGTCGTGTTCGAGTGCGAACACCTAAATCTTCTCCCGTTAACCAAGATGATAAAACCTTAACGGCCACACCGGACAAATTAACAAGAAGTGCACAACTTGCTTTGAAGGCCACTCCCATAAAGTGGAGAAGCGGAGCTGTAGCAGTTATCAATGCAAAAAGAAGAAGTGGTGCCTCCAGTGCCAATTTGCTAGGTTTGTGTCAGCAGTTAATTTTTAATATTGATTTTAATGCTTTAAAATACAGGAACAAAAATTAATAGTGGGCCTATTATTTCATTAGGCAGAGACCACCAGAGATGGGAGTATCTTCTGACGGTTGTTGGAATCATTGGAAAGAACTGGGAATTACAAAGTGTTACATTCTCTAGTATTCATAAAGCAAATTACCAAAGCATATATAAAACCGTATTTAGAACACAAGTCTTAATGTTCAGAAGTTGAAAGATGGTAGAATTGAGGTTCTCTTTACAACGTTAGTTGCAATAATGATTCCTCAAGTCCTTCAAGTAGTATTGAACTAAATCAAACTGTATCAATTACATCAATTTTGATTTGAAAACTTGCACTTTATAGCAATCTAGCTTCAAATTGTTTTCCTTGTACCTTTTTTTAAATACGATTTACAACCTTTGTCCATGGACAGGACTGCACTTAACAGTGGTATATAACATAAAATTTTAAAAAAGGATGATGACTGGGAGTTAATTTGAATAGTTTTAAATTGAACATCTGAATTTGAATGTTGAGCACTGGTTTGAACTAGTTTTGACAGCATTGGAAATGTTATGACAGGGGACCTGGTTCTTGAAATTTTTATCTTTGAAGAAACTTGCAGATAATATGTCTTAGCCTTTTAGTGAAAGAAGTGGGGGGTTTTGTGGGTTTTTTTCCACTGGCTTCGGTTGTTCTGTTCATTTTAATAGCAGCAGGGTACTGCGCAAATGCAATGACATACAATTTTTCACCACCTCTCTAGTGTGTAAGTGGTTTTTAATGTCTGGGCATCAGTTTCTCTTGTAATATGAAAACACCATCACAATTCTTCAAAATTATGGATGTCTGCTTTGTATCCAAAATAAGCTTGGTATTTTTCTATGTATCTTGAACAGTGACAGTTTTTGAAAGTTCGTTTTATTTATGGACTTTCCCCAACTTGCATAGCAATTCTGACAAGAGAATAATAATGTCCATTTTTTTCAGGAACAGCATTCCCTTTTTTATCGCTCCTTAAAAAAGGATAGTTTCTTTCATATGACCCCTGTCTTCTCATAGGCCGTTTCTGAATTAAACAAGGCAGGTGTCCTACCAACTTAAACCTTTGTTTATTACATAGCTGTAATTAATTCCCTGATTCCTCTGCTGTGTACAGGATGATGCTCTGATAAAGGTGACATTGCTTTGGGAATTTTCAGAGTATATTATAAGGGGAAGGTGATATAAGAAAAATCTGGAGAGACTGTGTAGATCTAAATGCTCTAAGCAGTATAAGTAAATAATTTCCTGACTCTGAAATTCCTTGGGAAGGTGGTGAAAGAAAGGCTGGATATGTCTCACTTAAGGAGCCATTTCTCTGATGTTAAATCTCATGTCCCACCAGGGAAAAGTTCAGGTATAATAATGAAAAAGACTGAAAGGCTCAGGGCAAGTTTCAGTTGGGAAAAATGATTTCTTTATAAAAAGAGTGAGAATGCAATTGGGTCAGCATTCAGTTCTGGGATGTAGCTTCTGTTTGACACTGTTTGAAGCTTTTTGGTGTTTTGTTGAAAGACATACTGGGTACTTGGACACTTGTTAATCTTCAGCTGAAATTGAGTCTTCCAAGTGCAGGCATTTCACAGAGCACTGTAGTGTAGGTGTTGTCAAATGATACAGCAACCACTCTGCTTTTCTTGACTGCAGCAAATCCATTGCAATAATAAAAAATTGTGAACTTCCATTTATACAGCTGAGAATTCAAGTGGTTACTTCTCTCTTGCTTTCTAGTTGTAAAATCTTGGGCAGAAGTGGTAAAATCAGGTGTTGCAAGACCCCAGTCAAAGACTGTTAAAAAAAGTGTCCGAAAAGGAAGATCCCTAAAGAAGATAACCCAGTCACCAAAGGTATTCTTTTTCTTTTTTTCACATTTCCTTTTTTTATTTATGCATAACCACAAAACAGCTTGTAGATGTTTTGCTTCAGAGGCTGAATGCTTACAAGCTTTTAGTATGTCGTTTAATGGGTGTTGATATCTTTGTCACAATATATAAGAAATATTGTTTTTATATAAAAGGAGTCTTTGTTTACTAACTTTTTTTTTTCTCTTCCCTTCTGCAGACTCCAGAAAGAAAAATAAAAGGTCATTTTAGTACAGGTCATGCAGAGTCACCTGCTACAATAGTTGTAGGGAGAGCTTATTCCACCACAGTCAGAACAGCTGGGCAGGTCCCTAAAGTGGTAAAAAATCCTATCTTGAAGCTAAACATGAACATGGATGAAAGCTTCACAAGTAAGTTTTGAAAGTCTATTGTTCGCTCTGTCAACTGTGTCATTCTTTTGTCAAAGCATATGCTCATTTCTCTGAATATAATTTCTAGGAATGACTGCAATGTTTCAAACTCCAGAAAATAAGAGTGGAAAAATGTTGCCTTTGGCCACTGTTGAGAAGACTGATTCTACACCAACATATGCTGCAGCGGAAATTTCTGACTTGCACACTCCGGAAGAATCTGGTATGTTTGTTATTTGAAAAGAAAGGAAGTGTTTAGCTATATTTAGTGGTAGTGGTGTGTCTGCTACTTGACACAGTGAGTAGCTCTAGGAGCACCTGTTTGATGCAGCAATGTAGAAGGCTCTGGCTGTTTGAATCAATTTTATTTAGTTGTACAACAATTAGAATGCTTGTTTTTTCTGCTTAATTATTTTTTCCAAACTACCTAAATCTACTGCTTTTTTTTAGGAGAGATGTTTGTGTCACCTTTAAATAGTTCAGATGCTTCAGAACAGAAACAGGATAGTCCAGGAATTTGTCACTTTCTGAGAGAGGAGTCTCTGAAGTCTGTGTTTGATGCAATATCCACAAAAACTCCTGAAAAAATAAAAGAAGCTATGCTGGAAGAAAATATTAGTGTGGATAATTTGTCAACAATTCCAGAAAAACAAGGATCTCTGGTGAAATCAGGACGTAAAAGGAGGACTACAAAGCAGACGTTGGAGCCAGTGGAGGTTGTGTCAGGCAACAAGCAACTTTTAAGGACCCCAAAGCAAAGGTCAGAACCAGTAGAGGCCTTGGTGGGCATCAAGGAGCTCATGAAGACCCCAAAGCAGAAGTCTGAGCCTGTAGAGGCCTTGTCAGGAATTAAGTATCTCCTGAGGACACCAAAGCAGAAGTCGGAGTCTATAGAGGCCTTGTCAAGCATTAAGCATCTCCTGAGGACACCAAAGCAAAAGTCAGAGCCAGCTGAAGTCCTATCAGGAATCAAGCACCTCATGAGAACCCCCCAGCAGAAGGCAGA